GAATCTTATGTATAGACATTAGTTTAGACTTTTAATATGTAACGAACATTTTATATTTAAGATTATAAAATCAAATTAAAAATCATAGACAAAAAAAGTATTTATGTTGCACGCAACAGTATGTTAGAATGGCAAAAAAAAATAAAAAACATTTTCCATCTCGGACACCCAGGACTTGTCAAATTTATTTTGTATATTTCCATAATCTGTAGCATTTGCTTACAACATTTCTCCGTAAGTCATAAATTAACAACATTGATATTGGTTATTTGTGTGTAATATAGAAATATAAAATATAAAAGAAATTATAACCTCTAATGCATGGTGAATCGGTGACATATATAACGTAGGTATTATCTTTTATGATAACAAGTTAATTGCTTCGTACCTATCACAGACTAGTATCGTGATAAATGTGTTTGATATTTACGCGCTACCTTGAAGAAAAATTATACACTATAGAGTTCCATATCAACATTCCCTCAATATCCCTAAATGTCAAATGATTTTACAAAATTATGTAAACTATTACACTGTACACAAAGTAAATGACATTCGTAAATAGACAAAGACAACAGTTTTATAGTACATTTACAGAGGAATGTGAGAATTTTTTTTTTAATTCACACAAAACTTTCTTGGTACACAAGAATACCTCTTCGTGAAGTTCTACAATAACTCAATGGCGTCTTTAATTGGATAATAGTGATAATCTCTCTTTATGACTGCGGCCTTGTATTGACCCAGCAGCGGCGCGTACGTACATATAATACGGATTGAAGGCGTGCGCGTCTGCGGACCATTATGAACGATGTATATGCAAAGTTTCGCGATCGACCATATTATACTACAGTATATCAAACTAGACAAAGGTTTCGACAAACGTTGAACCGACATGTGTTATAATTGTACTAATGTTGGAACTTTACCAACACGGTGCTGCCCCAATCTACATAAGTAGATGATATAGGTTTTGGCCCACTGCTCTCAATTGTCGTAGCATTGGACAAACACCAAATGATAATGACCGAGTTGCAGTCGAGAATGAGCACTAAATTACAGGTGTTACGTTTTCAAATCTGCGGACGGCGGCTGCGGCGCATCCAAGGTCAAGGGAAGTTACTCAATGTATCAAACCGGTTGTGGATATCGTGTCTCTGTTTAGTTGCATAATTTCACCTGGTTCTGCTCGACTGAGCATCTAAAGATGTCTCATTGTAACCTGTTCTGTAGGTTTATCGCATAACTCGTTTTCATGATTTTCCGAATTCCGATGGTGTTATAGCTATATATGTATATGTATGTTCTGCTATAATGTCACACATAGGTTCTGATAGGTACTCAATCAATGGCCGATTTGAGATTCAATTAAATTGATTCGTAACCACGATGTTATGTATGACACAATGTGATGTATGGAAAATAATTACATCGGTTCAATTCAATGTACCTATGACTTGAGCTCGGTACTCCGTTTTCCATAAAATAGAGCATAAAATATTTAATACACCATTAATTACACTACCTGTTACCACGCACGCCATGATTGCATTATTTTTGTTATTATAATGTATGTAAGTATATATCATATTTTTTAAAATTTTAACTTGCATCTTGATTGCTTAAGTTGAATTCTAATCTTCTATCCTATATTTAGTTGACGAAACCTTGAGTAAAGCACCTACATTGAATATCTTATTTAGCAATTTCGATATTTTCTCAATATCTGGTCACTGAATTGTACCTAATCTCTGGAGACTCGCTATTACATTTGACTGCGTCTAAGGAAAAGTAATTGCTCACAATCCCCTAGACTGAACTACGCCAACGAATCCCGTTTTCCTGGTCGCCCATAAGGAATTCGAAAATAGCACTTCGACTCGAGCATTTGCTTTGAATTTTATTTAACCAAAGCTATTTTCTTCCATTTTGTTGACAAATTCATCTGTATTTTTCAACGATTCACAATGTCAGGTGTTTTTGTTCATCATACACAGGTAATTATCGAAGGCTCGTCTGTTAAAACAAAGTTGGGAGAGCCAATGGAGCGTGATGACGGGCCATTCATCGCGGCGGAGCCGGCGCGCCGCCCGCCGATCGATGCGCCCGGAACGCCCGATATGCCATAATCCGCGGATATAGGGACACCCAAATTTGGTTACTAAGTGTTCCATTTATGTTGCCCAACCCGCCTATATTGATTTTGTTTACTTATTGCCTCCGATACTGAACTAGGTAATCGACAATTTTATTTAACTTGCAAGATGTTTTATTTTCCAGATACAAACTTCTTAAAATTTGAACGCCAATTGAAGTGTCTTATTAAGTTGAATGTTTTCGATTACAAAACCCCGAAACGGTTGATTTTTTCCAAAAAATGTTTTAAACAACATGTCATTAGATTGATGTCATGAATTATTCCCAGACGAATTTGTAGGACATTATGAAATTCGGCATAATTTTCATCACTCGTTGATAAAGTCCCTGATATCCTATCAGAAACTTATCTGATATTATCTGATGGATAATATCAGTGTCTTTTATTTGTCAGATAGCGTTATATGGCTAGATAACTGTCTGGAACTTCATCAGCAAGTGGTGAAACAGGTCCTTCATAAATGAAACAACATTTTAGCGGTTTCGTCGCGTTTGTATTTAGTTTTATTGACGTTTCCGACCCTTTACAGGTTCCGCGTTCACATAAGATTAAGGAGTTGATTGTCTTTTTAATTAAGAGTATACCTAGCTACTATTGGACACATTCACAATATTTTTTTTTGCATTTTATGGCAACGTTTCGTTTATTAAATTAAATTATTTTAAAAATCAAGTTGACGTATTTATTTACCCCTGCCTACCGTCCTTCATGTTATAATAATGATTAATTAAAAAATATTATGATTATCTATTTATAAAATTGATCATTTTTTATCCAAGTATAGTAAGTGTTTGTAGCTATGCTATAAAAATAATACGCACATTTACACATAAAATTTTGTTGAAATATATTTTCGGATTCTTGGTGTGTCAGATGTATTTTATTATATTATATTACTGATAATAATAACAGTGACGCCAATAAAAATTGCGTCAGCGACCTTCACAATACTAGTTTTGAAACTAATATTTTCATCAAATGCTTATAACATTTCATGTCACGTGTTCGGCCCCGGCTGGTGCTAGCGTAGCACACTAACAAATTAATGTTGGGACCTAAAGTAAACTAAGCATTTGGTGACACTCCCTCGAAGAGCGACCCCTCGACCCAAATAAGCCGCCGAGAACGGTGGTTAAACTGAAGTTAGACAAATGTGACTTAAACCGATTTCTGATAAGGTCCGACACGAAGACACTGCCGTTTTCGTTACAGCTAATCTAACTTTTATAAGTGAAGTTAACTGTAATAAGCTATAGTTTCTTACAAATATCCAAAGTTATATTATTCTTTCTCAAAGGAAATGAAATACCAACCGATCAACGAAGAAACAAATTAAAATAAGTAATATGCTCGTATATGTTTTCATCACAGCCTTATACAGATACTAGCCTTCCGCCAGCGGCTTCGCCCGCGTGAATTAGTCTTAAGTCCAGAAGTGAACAACATCCATAAAAACTCATCCTCTAATTTACCGCCTTACGGATCGAATTTCGTAAAATCCCGTCTTAATGAGCGCTTACGTCCTAAAAAGAACCCGCATCCAAAATTTGAAACTCCTAGCACTTGTAGTTTCTGAGTTTTCGTGATGAGCGAGTGAATGAGTGACCTTTCGCTTTTATATATAGATAAGCTTTATATATAATAGATTAGATACATGCGAGGCAATGAAATGTTTAAAAATTTACTTCATTCTAATTTTATTCATCATATTTAATAGCTGTAGTATACTATTAACAATCGATGTCACGGTGTCGCCACAATGTAGTTATAACTGTCCATTTTTCATAATAATTCTCCATTTGTAAAATGTCTATCATGGCTACTGCTAGTGATTTATGTTGATCCCAACAACCTTTGTCTCTGGAGATGGATAAGTGGTTTAGTTATCCAGACAACTAATCCCATATTTGTTCAGTCTTGGCAAATAATAACATTCCCATTCCAACCAAATAAAATCTGATGTTGTTATTCTATACAAAGACTATGAGATTTGGTTAACCGAATAAAGCTGACCATGCTCTGTTTCTGGGTTTAAATCACTTGTGAATGTGAGTCGAGAAGTCTTTTATTATTTATATATTTATAACATCGTTTACTAACTGTAAAGCTCTTGCATGATTTTGGACACAGTTCTATAGGCAACCTTGACCGCTCATAATGACATCGATAAATAAAATTAAAGCTAATTCTGTAAAGCTACCAGAACATTTTTTTTTTCAAGACAAAAGCTTACCATAAATATATTAAACTTATATAATTTGTTTACCGCACTTTAACGGTGTTTGGTGTGTGCCTTATCTAACGCGTTGCTGTTGCTGTAGGTAATGGATGAGCATTTCTTCGGCTACGTGAGAGGTCACCGACTAATGGATCGGTTCGCTACTGTCTTCCTCTCCTACCTACTAGATCGATTGTTTAGTTTTAATCTTTAGAAAAATTCTGACCTTATAATATTGATAATTTTATCTTCATTGCGAATGCTAATAAAAACCACTTCGCAAAAAACTTGTATGATGGATGCATGATGATGTAATCGTGTGAAATCCTTGTCGTGGCATTTCGATAATCAATGCCTCTTGGGTAACGACGTTAATTAATTAGAAGACAGTTGTGAAGTGTTGTGGATGTCATCATGGCTTTATTCATTGTAGATCTTTTCATTTATTTTTATAGTTGACTTTTTAAACTTTTGAAAATGATTAATGTTGTGAATAGATAACCTAAACATGGAATTTACAATTTGACTGCTCCTCTAACAAAATAATTAGACCAAATTGTGACATGATTCTAGTTCTCTTTTTGTTTCATTTGTGAGTAATTTTAGGTTTGTTGTTTATGGCAGGTACGACAGAGCGAGCATGCCTCATCACGGGCTCCGTGGACGGCATAATGGTGGTGCTGGACTTCATAATGGATAAGATAAAGGAGAAGCCAGAGCTGGTGAAACCCTTCCCGGAGGGCGTCGATGCCAAGATGCCACAAGATAGGGATAAACAGGTATGTTAAGTTCTGATGCTCTCATCTATAATTAACGTTTGTGACATGGATTCTATTATTATTTTTTATTATCGTATCATTAATTCTGTTTAAGCATCGATGTATTTAATTTTAGTACCAACCAACAAATCGAAGAAACTGCAACTGTCAAGTTGGCGCCCATTGTTTATGTGCCGTGGAGTGTTTAAGCACAACTCTCGACAAGCGATATTTTATCGGAAACTTTTAAGTTCCTAAATAGAAAAAGCTTTAATATTGTTCTACAAAACTTGGATATAAAAAATCAACTCGTAGAGTTTAGGTATTAACAGTAATATATCGGATTTTAGGTCAAGATCCACTTATTTTGTGTCATGTCATCATAATGTTATATGATCTGACATCTGAAAATGTTTACCAAAAGTACCTAAATATTTTAAATACTTTTGTAATGTGAATGAAAAATATAGTGCTTAAGCTGACCTCGCGTTTTTGGCATAGCAGTATCTCGTCTGTGACACACTCGTGACAAATTACTGGTTATGGGTGTACACGGCTCGCACCTATTAACATGGAGATCACGTACCATTGAACATGGTGTAGGAAGAAAAGGGATTTTCATGACGCCGCGTGTTTTTGTGCATTTTCTGCTGGTTATGTGTATATTAATGTGTTGTCATTTGCTATGTTTTCTGCTTATGGTATTGTTGTATTATTACATCAAATGGTGCCTGAACTTTTTGTTGCTTGACGCATTTGTTTCTATTTCTATCACTTTCGTCGTCTATCTGGACTCCTTTCTCGTGCAACTGTGAATGTATCAAGTTGCGATTTATATCAAATTCTCAAGTTTTGGAAAAATCAAACTTCTAAGTTAACATCAGGTTTCTGGTTTGAGAATTTAAAGCGAAGACCGTCACATACTATACTTAAATGTTACTGAAACAGGTTTTCGTTTATGATTTTTTTTTTAATGATCAGTTTGATGAAACTAGGTCTTTTTGCCATGTGAAACGTAAAACAGTTAAGTTATTTAGAATGATCAGTTGAGGTTTTTAAATTTTCTCAACTCAGAAACCGTCTGTAAGTCAATGAACATACTCGGCCGGAATATTGAAAATATTGAACATTTGAAAACACATTAAATACTACACATTGGAAGGCTTCAAAAGCAATGAAGTCTAACGAGCGTTTGACGTGAAAATTCAGAGATATAAAAAGACCCCTACATAAACCGCTTCTGTTCAAGTGGTTCGCACGCCGGTTTCAAGGTGTCGCCATCTCTGAGGTCCCGGGTTCGATTCCCGGTCGGGTCAATGTAGAAAATGAACTTTTCTATATTGATTCGGGTCTGGGTGTTGTGGTACCTTCGTTGTCTCAGATACTCTATAATACGGGGGCTTTAGCTACACATCTTGGAATCTGAGCAATGTATGTGATGTTGTTAAATATTTATTTATTTTATGTGATATACAATTTTCTTTTAACCATAAATAAGACATCTTCACTCTTACAAGTTATCGCTTCTAATAGAAATTTCAAGTTGTTCATAATACGTGTACGAGGTCCCAACGTCCCAATTGTGTAGCATCTCGGGAACGGATATACCAAGGATATTTGGCTTTGCGTAAAAGGCTCGTCTGCGCTTTCATATACGTGCCGCAAAGGGGCAACATTCATATTCGAATGTGTTCCGGTTTGAAGTATAACCGTATAATACAAGGGTGGCACAGAAGACTTTATCTATATAAATTATTAATGTTTACTGCGGCTGAAATTGGATTTCCTTTTAATATAAAAGTAATTTACTCTCCTTTCTAACTTTTGTTTCAGTGTTAATATTTGTGCTAAGACTTAAATTTTATTATATACATATTTTGTATAATTGGATTTCAAAAAATTAACGTTATGCTGACATTGATGCTAAAATCCATGGGCGACGGTAATCACTTACCATCGGGTGATCCATATGCTCGTCTGCCCCCTATCCCATAAAAAAAATATATTTTTAACGGTTTGCATGTGACGACTCTTTGGTTTATTTAATTTCATAATAATATTACAGCAATATAAAATGTTTCTCTAACTAGCACATCGCTTGTGTTGTTGTAGGCCGAAGTCATAGACTGATTGTTGTTTTTTTCATACAGTTTAAAGACTATGATTTTATTTCCAATGCCTTTCAAGAGGTGTATAAATCATATTGCGGTTTTGTCATATCTATATACAACTAGCTTTCTCCAGCGGCTTCGCCCGCGTGGACTCTAGATAAATGTTAATGAGATAAAAAGTATCCTATTATATACTCTATCTGTATACCTAATATCATCAAAATCCGTTCAGTAGTTTCGGCGCTATTGACGAACAAACATCCAAACAAAGAAACCACATTTATAATATTAGTAAGATTATAAGGTAAATATGATGCTAACTAAATGTGATTTTCCAAGCAGACTTTATGATAGACTGAAAAGCTACTCGGAGCATCTGACTTCAGGGAATAATCCTAGCGAAATGACTGAAAGCAAAATGTATTCAAATGCAGTACTAGAATAAAGCAAATGTATTCCGAAAAGTACAATTGTTTCTCTCGCATAAAAGATGGCTGAGAGTGACAGGAACCACCCGATGGACCTTATTATTATGTACATAAATAAGGATTTACCTGTATTTAAATTTATTAGCGAGGGAATCTTGTTAGCCGTTGCGTTAGGATTTGTTTACTGGATTAGCAATCGCGCCTCATTTACCCGGCTGTTTCCGAAGCGGATTGACGCCCACTTATAGACGATAGCCAATCTTATAGACGATCCATTTTTTTACTTTCTTACAACGGCTAAAAGATGGAGTTTTGTTATTGGGGTAATCGTTTTGTGGAGAAAAAACATAAACTGATTTTGTACCCAATAACAATATGGAGCCTATTTTGTTTTTAACTAGGTAGTGCTACTCCAGAACCTCTGTAACAGAACTACAAACAAATTCTGCTATAGTTTACGTATATAATACAGCTATATATAAATACAATTAAACGAAATTCCATTACATACCAATAACGATAACATTTTTTAGAATGAGAAATGATGGTGATTCTAGCAAAAGTTGATTTTTGCAGGAAACGAATGGACCAAAGACAGTCATTTCCGTTTCTTTTAACTAATATATTAAAAAAACTGAAATTTGCAAAGTTCGAAACTTAGATATCAATACAAATACGAAAAAGTACAAATAGAATATGAGATGTTTGTTGAGTTTTGATAATTAATTTACTTTTATGTATGAAAGAAAACAGGAAAGGTTGTCATGGAGAAATCAAGAAAGTACTTTAGTGACCTCTAGTTAGGTTTCGGGAACTAAAGTTGTTTTATATACTTTCTCATTATGTGAGAATTAAAGTCACGAAAAAAATCACGACAGTGAACTTGTTACATTCATTAATGGCAGAAAACTAGATTTATTAGCTCAGAACATAAACAAGTTTGTTTTGTAACTAGCTTCAACAAGTTACGTCACCTAATGAAAGGCTTACCCGCCATCTGAAACTTTTGAGAATTTCAAATATAATGGCATCGATTGTTATCCAACTGGGGCAACCTAAGGGACTATGAATTACCTCTTTTGGCGTTTATCAATTTATCTGTATGGTGTTCTTAGGATCTGCTATGGTATGCAGATGGCGCTGGTGATATACCTAATCAATGCAATGACAATTTAAGATATTGATAGTTGGAAATGCCAAATGCATATTTCTTTGTAATAATGAAAAACGTCTCGGCGGGGCGCAGTCGAACCACTGTTTGTGCACCGGAAAAAACATATATCTATTATTGTGACCTGGTTCTTGCTTACATGCTCAATTGGTCGAGGTCCAAGATTGCTCACGGATAGGTTTGTCAGACGGATGGACATGTCCTTCTTTACCATATTTTGTACTCCCATGTTCTCTTATCTATCCGTACGTGTGAAGCAAAACCAGCGTGCACATCAGCCGGTGGTGCGGCAGTATTAGGTACATATTGGGAACAATTTATTTGCTTGCGATGGAAATCCTAATGATTTACTAAATATTTCAGTGTATTTAACGTTTTTATATTTTAATATATATTATGAGTAAGGCGGAAATAATAAGAGCCATATATCCGTGTTTTACAAACAGATGAGCGATTTGACACCAAATGTTCTAATTACCAGACTCCCTGGAGCACAACAAATTATGATAAAAATGAAATAAAATTCAGTTTTTATGTCCTGCTCTTTAATATGAAAACTCTTCCTTTTTAGACCCATCTGGTCATTTTTACTAAATTATCTTCTGGCAACCCTACTCAAGGATCGTTACGCTGTTATGTTGATGGACAGCATTTTGCCTATGTTCTTTTTTTTAGTTTCAAGACCTAAACTACTTTGCTTTGAGATTTGAGCAATGTTTGTTGTAATGTACATGTACATTTGAGCATACTGTGAGTGTAAAAAGCTTATTTAAATGCGACTTCCTCAAGCCATTTGATGATTAGCCAGCGTTAAACTGTCAAATAAGGCGGACATTAAGATTAAATTGCCAGCCTTTATAATCATGGCGATATTATTGCTTTTATTTTTCATGTTTTCGGAACCGGTAAATGCATCTTTTTTGCTTTACTGTAGAGCGATAAAACTCAATTTTTGTAAAATCATTCTGTCGCTGACGATACCCGGACGTAGCGTAGATTAAAGAATCTAAATCCAGGATTATTAAGACAGTACCGAAGTTTCTAATTAGAATTTAACCTGAAAATAACAGGGCAGAATATCCGACGACAGCCGTAATTGCGTTCCAGTTCAGAAAGGCTTTAATTAATAAAAAAGTTAGAGGCGGTGACAGTCTTTATTTACGTAAGCAAAGCTGCCCTTGTTAATAATATAATTAATGTCACTTCCTTTAAATCGCTTTTCTTTATATTCTATTATTTTGCAAGTTTTCAACGCGTACAAAATAAGGAAACAATAACATTATTGTGAGGCAGCAGCAGACACATACATGA